ACGGGCTCTACGGGCCCTACGGGCTCGACGGGCTCTACGGGCCCTACGGGCCCGTGCGGGCCTCTTGCGGGTCTACGGGCTGCGGGGCCCGGGCCTGGTTAAGGACCTTGGCCTTTATAGGGACGTACCTGCGGTGATTTATAACGTAAGAAATCAGCTACAGTGTTCGCTGTACATTGATGGTCCTCTGCTGCAAGTGACTGGATGTGCAATGCTGCCGATTCTGAGTGCGATGAGAGCTATATTTATTCTGCGCATGTGAGGTCTCAAGTCTAAGGTCTAAGGCTGATTCTCAATACTCACTGGTCTCATCTGACTCTGAATGATTTACTTGATTCTCAAGACCGATCGGAGGCCTGCGACACATTGTGTCAAGTGTGTGTGTGTGTGTGTGTGTGCGTGCGTGCATGTGTGCGTGCGTGCGCGTGCGCGTGCGCGTGTGTGTGTGTGTGTGTCAAGTGTTTTTGTGCTTTTGCTGCGGGCGGGCGCTGCTTGGTCTTGTGCTGTTGCTGCTGTGAAGCGCAGCAACACAAAAGCACCGATTCCTGCACAAGGTCCAATCGGTGACAAGTGCTTTGTTCAAGCAGACAAGTGGCCCATCGTCGCGCTATGCAGCCAGAATCAGGCACGTGTCCGTCACTGCATGCATGTGCCACCGGAAACAGTATGTAGCAGACGCTGATGCTCAAAAACATGCAGAGCTCAAATTAGTCTCCGTCTACGCTTTGAACTGGCATCGAGGAGAGCTATCTAGCTGTCAAAAAATATTTCCCCGACAATATATACTGACTACGGCCGTCTGCTGCGAGTCTACCGAAGCCGTGCTCAACATTAAGAGCGGGTGAAGTGATGAATGACAGAGTCTCTAGCCTACACGAGCAGCTTCGTCGGAATTTACAAATGAACTGACCCACGGCTTGAGCCCGCAGCTGTTTTGGTGCGTCGCGGGCTTGCCAGGTTGACACACTTGATTAAAGGATCTTGCTACCCTGCTATGCTCTGTGCAGTACAACAAATGGTGTCGACACGCCTCCTTGACGATGTGTGCACTCGATGCTACAGAAAATCCTTGCGACCTGAAAGGCTGGCCGGGCCTTAGCTTTGCTGACGAAGTCAAACTCATCCAGCTGCGTGCTGTACTTTAAAGCCATCATGTCCTGCGGACAATATCCAAGACATGAGCAATACCGATACGACCACCAAACACTCCTGGGTTCGGAGTTCCGACGATGGCTTGACCGGGCTGCAGATTGCCTTATTCAGAACCTGCACACCCTGATAATCTCGGTCCTGGACCACCGTAAACAAGGTGCTCACGGGGCAGGTTTCCTGCGACGGGGATTCAGTGCACAGTTGAGCATAGACTTTGCACCTCATGCGCAGCACGGAATTCCGCCTGCTGCAAGAATTACTTGAGAATCAATGTCTCAGCTTACTGTGTCGTACGCAACCCTGGTCTTGGAGCGGGCTGGCAAAAGACAACAAGCCAGTATGTAAAGTTAGTTTCAGCCCGGTCTAAAATCGTCTGGAAGGTGCGCGTGGTTGGAGAACAACGACTTATCAATCCTCAAGGTTCTGCCCCAACATGCACCGGTGCAGGCACAGTCAAAGCAGCATTCATCATGACAGCAACACCAACGGGTGGGCAGACTCGAGGTTGCTCGACGTCATCTGGCGGCGAGCTCAATCGCCTCGATCTTCCGTGTCATGTTGTCCCCTTCATACACACGAGGGAGCGCACTGGGGGCACGGCCCCGAATTCGACCGTGAGCGTGCGCTGAGCGTCGGCTTCCGGTGAACCCTTAGTTCTACAAGATCTCAAAACTTGTGACTTGCAACTTGCTCTTGCATCCTATGAGTTCTCTGGCGCAGCTGCAAAAAACCGGGTCATACATTAGCTGTGCTGTCGTCACCTATGCTTGTATGTCTGTGTGTGTCTTTCGATATATTGCTGTTCGTGTGTCTGCAAATTCACGCTTATGCATTGCCCAAGTGTCTGCATGTCTAGCTGCATGTACGAAGATGCCCCTGTGGGTATATCTGACTCTCTAGGACATTCTAGGACTCTACGACCTACACGAGGAACGGGCGCAGAAAAATCCTTGCTGTCTAAGTCCCAGAGGCGGCTCCTGGGAGGTCTGCAGAACCACCAAAGGGGATCCCAAGCGCCTGGGGAGCAGAGATCAAAACACCTCAAACAGCCCTCAGCCTCTTCAAGGATCCAACAAAAACCCTTCCTCTGGCATTGAAAGAGACTGAATCCTCTGAAGCCCGTGGCCCCAATGGCCCCAATGGAGATGCCAAGAGGCTGTGGAGTGCGGGCTCGGAGGCTGGACTCCGACTTAGAGCTCGAGAGCCGACGCAGCATGGACCTGAAAGCGCGAGGAGCTGTGCTGATTTTAGGAGCTTTCTGAAGATGTCATAGACGGGTAGCTTACGAGGAAAACCCGGAGATCTTGGTGTAGTTATCAACGCGCAAGGCACTCGCCGCTAGCCAGTGCAGACTCTGCTACATGTTAGCTTCTGAGCGGTTTGGCTCTTGCCCGTGCCAGGTGAGGAAGTTTCGATGTTGAGTGAATTTAGCTCGGCGCAGTTCATATTACGATCCAACATGGGCCACTCACCCACAAGCGGCAACTGATGATTGGCCCGAGAATGACCTTTGCTTTCTACGGCACATTCTGGCAGCTGGACAGAATAAATTGCCAGTCCACACCTGTGCTAGTGGGGAGCCTGTTCTATGGCCTGCGACCATAAGCTGCGATGATGTCGACGACCTGCTCCTACTGAGCGTCTGGGACTGACTTCCTGCAGCCAGGTCGCAGCTTCTCCAACTCCGCCTCATCGGTCACTGGGACAGGAGGAGGCCTCAGCCACAACTGCCGGAAACTGTTTTGTGTCCGCCCCCTGTCGCTGAAGAACGCCGCGCCATCGGCAGAAGTGAAGCTACCCAAGCCACGCGTAAGCTCTTCACGTTTGCCGGGCGCTCAAGCTGGCAACTGGCCTTCAAGCTCTTCGTGACTCGAAAGCGTGAGGCTGAATCGTTTTGAACAGGCTGGCAAAGCCTTTGCGGCAAAGCACTGTATGCGTCCCCTGCCCCACTCTTCTCGCACTGCAAACCAGGCAAAGTCTTTCATAAGCGTGGCCTTGTGGTTAAAACTTGGTGATCTATCATGCTATGATTGAATTCACCAGCGCGCTGTCAACGCGTCGTTACCACAGGAACCAATGCCGTTCCTAGCAGCAACGACCTGAAGCACAATTTCAGGTGCAGCTGGCAGCAAGGACAGGGATGGACAGGGTGGCGGACAGGATTTGGCTGTTGAGGAATGGTAGGTTGCGACCTGGGTTTCAACTCCGGCACACGGCGAGGTGGCCAGTTCAGTATTTCGATCTCGTTCGGAATCGGGGAGATGTATGCGCACCAGGAATTGGTTTACCGTAGAGAATCAATCGACCGATGCATTGGATTCTGCAGCACCACGTCCTCGGTACCTTCCCAAAACAATGTGGTAACAGGCACACTATGGCGTTCTTGCATCGGAAGCAAGGAAAGTGTTGGGATGTGTTGATTGCTGTCCGCCGCACGGCGCGCGGGACAAGGCTCCCCGCGTCCGATCATATATTGGAAACGCTGCAAATCTGCTCCCCGTGTCCTGCCCGTGTCCTTTACTTAAACAGGATGCTCGCAGCGGGTGTTTTTCACGCTGTGGTGCCGTGCATGCTCTTCGCTGACGTCCCAAATTTACAGAGGATCCGAGCGGCCGTGCTCGCCGGAGAGATCGATCCGGTGTAAATTATAATACCTGGATGGACTACTTCCTGCTCTCGAAATCGCAGCATTACCTGGGGAAACAACTTGGGGTGCGCCTCTGGATCTCGCAAGCTAAGGGGGAGGCATAAGTCTCGAGACTCCGAAATGCGAGAGCATTTGGGGGAAAGCGCTTTCGCGCTGCTTGGAGCCGGCAGTGGGGTCTTCGGTGGTCTCCTGCTGGTCTCTTGGCGGTCTCCTGGTGTCATGCTGGTCTGTTGGTGGTCCCGTGGTCGTTGTCGTCCTCGTCGTCGTGGTCGTCCAGGTCGCAGTGCTCGTCGGGGGTGGTCTTCGTGTTCTCTGGAAGCTGTCCCGGTGGTTTCCTAGTGTTCTCTTGGTGTCGTGTGCGTGTTTTGTGGTGGTCTCCTGGAGGTGTCGTCTCCTAGCCCTTGCTAGTGGTCTCAACCGAAGGCTGCTGGAGCTCAGGGCCTTCTAAACTCGTGTTTCATCTTCGAATACAACTATAATTTCGCGGGCTGCTTTCGCAAAGGTCCCGGAGCGCGGCCTCCAACTGGTGTGTTCGAGTACAAATGTAGTAAGCGGAATGCTTCCCGGAGGCTCCTAAACCGCTGTTTTCGAATACACCTGCAATGTTCACTGGTTTCGACCTGTGGGGCAAGAGCGAACCGCCGGACCGGTGGGTGACTGTACTCGTGGTAGTCTGGAACAACACAGAGGGCCATAGCCATAGGGAACCACCGGGTCGTGACTTCTGGTCCTAGTGATGCCTAGCGTCCTAGTGGCTTGCTTCAACTTGGTCATTCACTTCTTGAGATGTTCCTTGGCATGATTCTTTTGTCTTACGTACTGAATCCGTGACTTATTTATTGATTCATTCGCTTGATTGCAGCCGATAGCCGGAGCCTGACCTCTCATGTTTTCATCGACAAATGCCCTGCATGCCCTTGCCCGGCCCTTTCCTGACTCGTGGCACCGCGGACGTGGCCATGAGCGACGTGCAGGCTCTGAGGTTACCAAGGGCTGATGGGTTGTGGGTTGACGGGTGATGGGGCAGGCACAGGCGACTGGCTAGTTGTCATTCTTAGTGATTCTTGTCAACTATTTCCATTCACCGCGTACCTGACATTCTCGATAATTCGTCTGGCTTGTTTCGAGCTTAGACTAATGAGATGTTCCTACGCCCATTTTGTGTTTAGACTTGGCTCCACGAATCTATGAGTCTGCCAACTTGCTTGGGTTAACGTGTTTCAGCTTACATGAGCCGGAGCCAAGACAGGCCCAGGTTTCATGAGTTCTTGCATGCACAGGCGGTTCGAGCACCCTCGAACTGAAATCCTGCACATTGAAGATGTCCTCGTATTTTCGTGGGACCTTCTCAGCAGCAATCTGCGCAGCATGCAATCAGAAAGCACATGCCGCGCTGCTCAGACCTCAGTACTATCAGAGAGCTTATCCGGTCAGCGATTTGGCAGGTTAAAACAATCAATGCAAACACGCATGAAACCAGCAGTTTAAGCTCAGCAGCATCTCCCAAATGATGCCGCCCTCCTTCGAAACAAGCTCACATGCCGCCCCATCTCCAACAGCGTTTGGGTAGGGATATGTTGGACAGGTGGCTTGTGACAAGTAAGGCCTTTATTTATGCAGCACTCCAGTTGTGCGTTCTGGTCTCCTCAGAATAACGAAGTGAGGCGAGGCGTCTCAGTGACGGCGGGCACCTGTGTCCATGGAGCCTACGGAACGCTCACGAATGCGCCACTGGATGTCATGTTAGACAACGCTGCCCCGGCCCGGCAACGAGAAACAGCCACAAGCTCGGTTAACGTTAAAATCTTGTCCCCCCTACAGACGGCGGCTGGGACGCCAGAGCGGGCCGCAGCAGTAGGCAGCCATGTTCCAGACGATGGAGCCTGTGTAACTCCGTTCTTCGAAAACTCAGACCATGTGAACCTCTCGCGCTCTCTCTCTCTCTCTCACAGGTACTGTGGCACCGTCTTGAAATAGATGACCCTCACTGACCATCTGTAGTTTTGTTTTTTCGTGGGGCTTATTCAGGACACGGGCTGCTTTTGGATGGCCTCAATAACAGCAGGCATTTGTTTTGCTTGATTGTTGTTGGGTGGGATTCTCAAGTTCTGCTAATGTTCAATTCTGGTTGACGAGAGGATACTGTGAGGCCTGAGAGGGCTCAGAGCTTGGTTTCCAGGTGTTTGGGAGCTTTTGTCAGGAGGCCTCAGTCAGGAAGATTTACTGTTTCGTAGTTCTGCTAATCCTTTTTTACGACTACGTAGAAACTCGCCTAATTAACCTAAATCCCACCTTAGCCCACCCCCGCCCCTCGCCTCGAAACACCCTGAACCCCCCTCAATCATACTGCTCGTACTTGGCACTCATGCTAGCAAGAGTATTGATACATGTACTATCATGTACTTGCGTTGGGGTTATCTCACATCAGCTGGCGAGAATACACATCAATGTCGGCAGACG